TGCCAAGAAATTTGAGAACCTAGGGGAAATGGACACATTTCTAGAAAAATATAATCTCCCAAATTCAATGAAAAAGAAGTAGAACACCTGAATAGACCAATAACAGCAAAAGAAATTGAAGCAGTAATCAAAAAACTCCCATCACACAAAAGCCCTGGACCAGATGGATTCACAGGAGAATTCTACAAAGCATTTAAAGAAGAGCTAACCCCCATTCTTCACAGACTATTCCAAAAAATCCAAAAGGATGGAAAACTCCCTAACTCCTTTTATGAAGCCAGCATCATCCTAATTCCAAAACCAGATAGAGATACAACAAAGAAAGAAAACTTCAGGCCAATATCGCTGATGAACATAGACGCTAAAATCCAACAAAATATTAGCAAATCGCATCCAACAATATATCCAAAAGATTATACACCCTGACCAAGTGGGATTCATCCCAGGGATGCAAGGATGGTTCAACATTCGCAAAACAGTAAATGTAATTCATCACATAAACAAAAGCAAAGACAAAAACCACATGATCATATCAATAGATGCAGAAAAAGCTTTCGATAAGGTACAACACCCATTTATGATAAAAACACTCAGCAAATGGGAATAGAGGGAACATTCCTCAATATAATAAAGGCCATTTATGAGAAACCTACAGCCAATATCATACTCAATGGACAAAAACTAAAAGCTTTTCCACTAAGATCAGGAACAAGACAAGGATGTCCACTTTCACCACTCCTATTCAATATAGCATTAGAAGTTTTGGCCACAGCGATCAGGCAAGAAAAGGAAATAAAAGGCATCCAAATAGGAAAGGAGGAAACAAAATTGTCACTGTTTGCAGATGACATGATAGTGTACATGGAAAATCCTATAGACTCTACCCAAAAACTGCTCAAACTAATTAATGAATTTGGCAAAACAGCAGGATACAAAGTCAATATCCAGAAATCAAAGGCATTTTTGTATACAAACAATGAATCAGCAGAAGCAGAAATCAAGGAAAAAAATCCCATTCGATATAGCAAAAAGAAAAATAAAATATCTGGGAATAAACCTAACCAAAGAGGTAAAAGACCTGTATGCAGAAAACTACACAGCACTGAAGAAAGAAATCAAGGAAGACACAAACAAATGGAAACATATACCGTGTTCATGGATTGGAAGAATTAACATCATCAAAATGTCCATACTACCCAAAGCAATATACAGATTCAATGCAATACCTATTAAAGTACCAATGGCGTATTTCACAGACATAGAACAAACACTTCAAAAATTTATATGGAACCATAAACGAGCCCGAATAGCAGCTGCTCTTTTGAGAAAGAAAAACAAAGTAGGAGGGATCACAATACCTGATATCAAACTGTATTACAAGGCCACTGTAATCAAAACAGCCTGGTACTGGCATAAAAACAGGCACATAGACCAATGGAACAGAACAGAGAGCCCAGAAATCAACCCAACCCTCTACAGTCAATTAATATTCGACAAAGGGGGCAGTAACATAAAATGGAGTAAAGATAGCCTCTTCAGCAAATGGTGTTGGGAGAACTGGACAGCTACGTGCAAAAAAATGAAACTTGAGCACCAACTTACACCATACACCAAAATAAATTCAAGGTGGATAAAAGACTTAAATATAAGCCATGACACCATTAAAGTCCTAGAGGAGAACATTGGCAAGAAAATCTCAGATATTCCACGCAGCAACATTTTTACGGATATGTGCCCTAGAGCAAGGAATATAAAGGAAAGAATAAACAAATGGGATCTCATCAAAATAAAAAGCTTCTGCATGGCTAAAGAAAACAGTATTAAATTAAAAAGACAACCAACTGTATGGGAAAACATATTTGCCAATGATACCTCAGACAAAGGTTTAATCTCCAAAATATACAAAGAACTTACACGACTCCACTCTAGGAAGACATCGAACCCAATAAAAAAATGGGAAAAAGACTTGAACAGACACTTCTCTAAAGAGGACATACAGAATATCCAGAGACACATGAAGAGATGCTCAATATCGTTAACTATCAGAGAGATGCAAATTAAAACCACAATGAGATACCACTTTACACCAGTCAGGATGGCTATAATAGACAAAGCAACAAACAACAAATGTTGGAGAGGGTGTGGGGAAAAGGGGACCTTAGTTCACTGTTGGTGGGATTGTAGACTGGTACAACCATTATGGAAAACAGTATGGAATTTTCTCAGAAAAATAAAAATTGACCTGCCTTTTGACCCAGCAATTCCACTGCTAGGATTATACCCCAAGAATCCTAAAACATCAATTTCAAAGAACCTATGCACCACAATGTTCATAGCAGCACAATTTACAATAGCCAAGAGTTGGAAGCAACCTAGGTGCCCATCAGTAAATGAATGGATCCAAAAATTGTGGTACATATACACCATGGAATTTTATGCTGCAGAGAGAAAGAAGGAGCTACTACCGTTTGCAACAACATGGATGGAACTGGAAAGCATTATGCTGAGTGAAATAGGCCAGGCATTGAAAGACAAATACCATATGATCTCACCTTTGACAGGAAGCTAAAGAATAAAACAAACAAGCAAACAGAATAAAAACAAAGACGCTGAAATAGAGAACAAGTGGGCAGCGACCAGAGGGGAGAGGGAAGGGAACTTAAGGGGAAAAAGGGGGAGGGATTTTGAGGAACAAGTATGAAAGACACAGAGATGAGAACTGGGGGGGGGAATGGGAGGGAGGGGGGAGACCGGGCGGGGGGGGGGGGGGGGAGAGAAAAAAATGTACTTGAAAAGTAACTAAATAAAATTAAAAAAAAATATATATATATTTTATTGATTATTCAAAAAAAAAAAAAAGAATGACTGTCATCAATAAATCAACAAACAACTCTGTCTGCGAAGATGAGGAGAAAAGAGAACCCACATGCACTGTTGGTAGAATTGCAAATTGGTGCAGCCACTATGAAAAACACTATGGAGATTCCTCAAAATATTAAAAATGGAATTACCATATAACCCAGCAATCCCACTTCTGGGTGTTTTTCTGAAGAAATCGAAAATATTAACTTAAAAAGATTACGTATTCTATGTTCCTTGCAGCATTATTTACAGTAGTGAAGATATGGCAGCAACCTAGCCATATCGATAGATAAAAGAATAAAGAAGATACACATATACATACATATACACACAGGATAAACTACTATTCAACCATAAAAAGAATGAAATCTTGCCATCTGTAACAGTATGGATGGACCTGGAGGGGATTATGCCAAGTGAAAAAGCCAGTCAGAGAAAGACAAATACCATGTTATTTCACTTATATGTGGAATCCGAAAAACAAAACAAATAAACAAACCAAACAGAAGCAAACTCATAGATACAAAGAACAAACTGATAGTTGTCAGGCTGGGGGAGGGGGAAGTGGCTTTAAAAGGTGGAGTGATTGAGATATACAAATTGCCCGTTATAAAAATAATCACAGGGATGTAAGTACAGCACAGAAAATATAGTCATTAGTATTGTAGTAACTATGTGTGATGACAGATGGGTCACAGACTTATGGGGAAGATCACTTTGCAAAGTATGCAAATATCTAATCACTGTTATATACTAAAACTTATATATTTTATGTCCTTTATAATTAAAAATAAATTTTAAAAAGGAATGTCCTCCATGAATACCACAAAAATAAAAATGTTTATTATCAAGTTAATATGCTGACTTATCAATTCCTTGTTTATAGTATACTTTTAAATTTAAAAAGCCAGTATTGTATGTCATATCTTTACTCTAGAGTTGTTAGTTTATGACATGTAATGAAACAGGGTTTTAGAAAGGAGAAATGTAAAAATCTAAATTACATATAATTTTATATGCTAAAAAACTTCCTTAGCTATTAAGTCATATTGCTGGGGAGATGAAATTAGGATACATTCACTTACTTCACTCCAATATTTGCTATTTAACTAATTATTTTGGAAACCTATACATTAAGGTTTAATGCATTCTCTCAATTTCAAAATTTATTAAGATCCAATTTTTGTCAGATAAAATTTATATTTTAAATAACAAGTTCGCATACTATCTACAAAAATGATTTTAAGTAAAATTATAGAGGGTATTTGTGGTAGGCAGAACCCCAAACTTCTTACCCTAATTTCTGAGACTGTCAATATGAGGAAATACCACACCTGTGATTATTTACAAATAAGATAAAAGGGATTTTGTAGATGTAATTGAGGTTCTATCAACTGACTCTGATTAATCAAAAAGGAGACTACCCAGATTATCATGACCTAATGACATGATTAAAGCAGAATTTTCTCCACTGGTGGCTAAGGAAGCCAAAGATATCTGAAGGTATGAGGGAGATGTGACACACCATTGCTGGCTTGAAGAAGGAATGTGGGTGCTATAAGAAACTGAGAGAAGTCCCTGGCCAACAACTAGCAGAAGATCCGGGACCTCAATTCTACAACCACAAGGAATGGAATTCTGCCAACAATTTGAATGAGTGTAAAAGTGAATTTCCCCCTAAGTCTCCAGTCAAGGACTCAGGCCAGTGAATGTCCTAAGTATAGCCTTATGATACCCTGAGCAAAGAACCAACTGGGCTTATGACTTAGGGAACTATGTGCTAATAAGTGGGTTTCGTTTTGTGCCATCACGTTGGTGGGAATTTATTATGCAGCAATAGAAAACTCACACAATGCTGGGGAATTACCTATTATGAGAGAAGAAAATCAACTGAACATAGTAATACTACATCTTTCAGAGGGCTTAAGGTTCAAAGTTGACTTGATAAGCTGTTTCATATCAAGAAAAACATGTATCTGAAAGAAGTGATAATTCTTAGGAAATGGGGTAAACTGGAATTCAGAACAAATTTGAAACATTTAAACAGATTTTAATTTCAGGAAAATAAAATTACACATAAAAAATTCTAGACATTGCAATTTCAAACTCGAGAGAAATCTGCTACAAGAGAGACTTACCCTATTTTGAAAAAATGATGCATGAAAATGTGATGTTGTAGCAGAAATTGACACTAAAGTAATAGTTTCTTCAGAACTAGGATTATGTAAGTAAACTTTTTCCATTTTTGGCATTCCAACTGGCCTGTAGAAAAAAAAAATTGTCACAAATGCTTCAAAGATAACTTGTAATTGTTAAAAGATCAAACATTAAAATTATCAGACAAATACATATCCAAATGTATAAAACTATTAAATTGTTTTATATTTAAATTCACACATAAAAATGCATTTAACCATTCAACAAATATTTGAATGACAATTATATGTCATACGCTGAGCCAGATCCTGGGATACAATGAAACAAGTCTTCTCTGGATGAAGCTTACAATGTAGTAAGGAAGCAGGCAGGGAACAGGATGGATAGATCCTTTTAGTTCTTTCTGTAATACCACCCTGACTGCCTAATAATTGGAATTGTGTCTTCTTCTTCCCTATTCCACTGACCCTGCTCTTCATTTTAGGAGAAATGGCAAAGTTGTATGAGAAGACCTGCCTCATGAGCTAAGGGCTATTCTCTTCCTCATTTTATAGATAGGGATATGGAGGCACAGGAAACTTAACTAACTCGCCCAAAGTCACACATGAAAACTAAATTTGAATCTAGCCACCTGGCTCTAGTTCAAGTTCTGACACACTATACTAACTGCCTCCTCTCAAAGGATCAATATCACGTACTTAGTGGTCTATAAGGGGGGACCCCAAAAAAGGCATTTACGTATAAAATACTGTGTATTTCTTGGATGTTTAAACTTCAGTCTCCTTCAAAGTACTCATTTGATGCAATACATTTATTGAGATGTTTTTTCCACTGCTCAAAACAGTTTTTGAACTCATCAGTTTTGATGCCTCTTAGTGCATCTGCCTTTTTTTGTTTCACCTCTTCCATGTTGGCAAAATGTTTCCCTTTGATGACTTTTTCATCGGGGAAACAAACAAACAAAAAAGTAGAAAGGGTGGGGCACAGGGGTCATCTGGTTTTGGTAAAAAACTGCTGACTACTCAATGCAGGTACACTCATAAATAACCCAAGGTAAAATGGGTAAAAAACATTCAAAGAGTCTTCAAAAAGAAATTCACTGAAGTCAAATGCAGCCTCTCACAACAAGGCCAGCTGGTACACTGATCCAGATAAGAACACTCACCTAGTGGGAAAAGCCTATACTATAAGGGGCCCACCCTCTGTATGTGTGGAGCTGTGGCTCCACCGTGGGGATCATTTCCCTTCTTAAATTCACAAGAGACAAAGAACAAGGCCTGGCCTTCTGTCCTTCCTCAACATGTATTACAAGACAGGAGCTCCTCAGGTTGTATCTCAAAATAACAGGATCTGTGAGGAGAACCATCTATTAGAAACCATGTATGATATCATGTTTCCAAATTGCTGTTTGAACCTGTGGAGTTACACTTTTTCACTTCAGTAACATTAGGCTTGGCCACATGATTTGCTCTGGCCAATGAAATGTGAGCAAAAGTAACATCCACCATTAAGTTTGAAGAGCCTTCTTGCACTTTCTCTACCAAGAAAAGTGGCATTTCCCAGATAGGAGTGCTCATTCAGTCTAAATTCCACTGAGATTTTCGGTTTGGTTGTGCTCACAGTATCAACTAATAAAGGCTGAATAATACAGACCTAAAGCTAGAAAACTTGAATCAAGAATTAAAAATAAGCATAATGTAATATACTTAAGGAGATATGGCAAGATATTGGGGAAATGAAGCAACATATCACAGAAAACAAAAGAAAGTATTAGTATAAAATATACCATGTGAAGGCAATACATGGGATAGGTAGGTGAAGGTGTATTAATGAGCTGGAAGAGCAGATTGATGATTTACTTTAGAATTCAGCAAGAAAGACTATATATTTAGAATATTTTAAAAGATAGTGCTAATAAAATAAAAAAAATAGTGGCATGTAGGCCATAACTAGAAATGTTAATATTTTGGAACATGAAATATAGAAATATTTTAAGAATATAAATAAAAATAATGAGCCAAACCCCAAATTTCAAAAAAGATGAAATAATTCTTGAAAGGTTTTATGAGGTGTCAATATCATCTAAAACAACATCAAAATCTAATTCAGCAGCATTTTATTCATTTTCATCTACAGCTTCATCTACTATTCAAGCTTGAATTATTTTAAACATTTTGCTTTTCCTAGAACAGAATAATAATATCTTATTTTCATAATACACCAAGAAGTCAGGTTCATACACATAAGTTTCACAAACTATGTAAATAAAAACTCTTCATTGTCTTTTAAACATTTAACACATTTTTAAGGTTTTCATTAACAGCCAACACTAATAAACACCACAAACAGCTGTTTATTTTGTACATCAGTTTGAGAATTTATAGTGCTGATATGAAGTTTTGTTGTTGTTGGGGTTAAATGGTTTCTGGTGCCTCTAAGGCCCAAACCAAAGTCTACTGTCCTTTTGAGAGCTTATCACAGCAGGTGCTACCACCTCTTGCAACAGTGGGAGCAGATGAGTTGGCTGCAGTCACTGGAAGGCTGTGCCCAGATTGCCTGTGCAAGGTGGGATTCCATAGGAGACGTTCTCTACCCTACCCAGAGAAGCAACATCTAGATTAGTGTTGGACTGACTACACTTGGGAAATGTCCATGCACCTCAGAGGCCAGGAATTTGGGTATTGTCTTAGAATTCTACCTGTCATAGCGGCCTGTGTGACTGTTTGGCTAGACAGGTATATTTTAAAATAAAACAAAGATTTTCAAGTGCCTGCCAGGGCTTGTCCAATAGTATCTCATGGCTTACAGTCCAGCCAACACGAGGGCCAACATCTTTCTGTGGCTTAACCATCCAGCCACTAACAAAAATCCCAAAAGTGGAATGAGGGCTTGGGTCCTGAGGAAGGACAGAGGGTATCCAGAGCAAGGTTTGTGGCTGAAGGTTTATGAGCACCCTCAGAAGCTCCTCAAAACCAGGAGCCTCAGGTGCATATTTCCTTAGGCACTGAACCCCTCAGCAAACAGGCTCATAAATCCCACGCTGGGTGGAGGAGCAGGTCACAAGACCATGACTCAATTAAGGTCCAGCTGGGGCCTCCGACCATGGCCATAATGCTGCAGGAATCTGAGGCTGTATAAAGACAGTATGCACCCTGGCTGGTGTAGCTCAATGGATTGAGCACCGGCCTGTGAAGCAAAGGGTTGCCGGTTCAATTCCCAGTCAGGGCACATGCCTGGGTTGCAAGCCAGGTCCCCAGTAGGCGACACATGAGAGGCAACCACACACTGATGTTTCTCTCCCACTCTTTCTCCTTCCTGTCCCCTCTCTTAAAATAAATAAATAAAATATTTTTTAAAATAAAAAAAATAGTATGCAAGATAAATTCTTCTTCGAGCTTTATATAGACACACAGGGAGAATAACAGTACACAGAAATAAAAATGTTCTCTGTACATCCTGAAAGTTCACTAATTATGTGCTTTCTTCAACAAACATACTCTTTTATCTCTCAAATGTCCTGACAACCAGTCATTCACCTTATTAATTTGTTCTTAATGTTTTTCCTCTTGTGACCTCCATGCAATCAATCTTAGTTAAGATAAAGAAGACAGTAGAAGATGTACTGGTAATCAGGGAGATTCTGGAAGAAGACAGGATGAAAGATGGCCCACTGCAGGGGAGGACTCTGGGGTAAGGAAACAGGTTTGGAAAGGTTCTAGGAACCTGAAAACACGGAGTAGATCAGAATGCTTGATTTGCAGTGCTGCTGAGGCTGCCTGCCTTTTCTAACAGGGAAGGCCCTGGGTCCCACCCTACAAAAATAAACCCTTGCTCAGACAATAAGGGTCATCTACTCATGCTTTCAAAGACGTTTGGAGTAACAAGAGGAGAGGGAAGTTCTCGAGAAGAGTGTCAGGAGTTCTGCGTAGTCCATGCCACAGGAAGCAGGAGGAGCACTCCTTGGATAGACCTGCTTAGGGACCTCAGATGAACAGCTTTCCCTGCCCCACCCTCTCTTCCACTCCCTGGTGATCCGAGCAGAATCCACAATAAAGTGGGAGACTGAAGAGAGAGGTCACATTAAAGGGGTATCCAAACCTGCAGCCCACAGGCAGCACGTGGCCCAGGATGGCTATGAATGTGTCCCAACACAAAATCGTACATTTACTTAAAATCTTTTTTTTGCTCATCAGTTTTTGCTAGTGTTTGTGTATTTAATGTGTGACCCAAGACAACTTTTCTTCTTCCAGTGTGGCCCAGAGATGCCAAAAGACTGGACTAGAAAATCTTTTGGAATCTTTCCTGCATGGAAAATTCTGGCCCAGTGCCAATTAATACATGCTTACTTATAAATAAATAAGCAGTGCATTAGCTATCTGCTGCATATCAAATTACCAAAACTTAGGGATTCAAACTAACACCTATTTATTTTTTTTAAGATTTTATTTACTTATCTTTAGAGGGGAAGGAGAGAGGGAGAGAAACATCAATGTATGGTTGCCTTTTGTGTGCCCCCCTGCTGGGAACTGGCCTGCAGGGAACTGGCCTGCAACCCAGGCATGTGCCCTGACTGGGAATTGAACTGCGATCCTCTGGTTCGCAGGCCTGTGCTCAATCCACTGAGCCACACCAGCCAGGGCCTAACACCCGTTTATTATCTTACAATTCTATAAATCAAAAGCCCAGCATGTATAAAAAGCATGCCTAGCTTATCTGCTCAGGATCTCACTCATCAAACCTCAAAGTCCTCCTCTAAGCTCATTCAGGTCACTGACAAAATTTAAAATGCTCTCAGTCACTTGATACATGGCCCCCTCCATTTCCCAAACCTGCACAATGATACTCCCTTGCATCAAATACCTCTCACACTTCTCCAACATTTCTATCTCCGACTGCTACAGCCAGATTTGACAGGACTCAGGTTATCAGGTCAGGCCCCCTGATCACCTCTCTACCTTAAAAAAAAAAAGTTAACTGATTTGTGACCTTAATTATATTTTCAAATCATCAGAGCAACATCTAGATTAGTGTTTGATTGAATACAATTGGGATATGTGTATACCTCAAAAGGATAGGAATATGGGGGCTGTCTTAGAATTCTGCCT